TTCAGTGACTTAGAGTACAGATGGGTTTTCAGTAATGATGTCTAAGACAAAAACTAAAAGAGAAAAGATAAATTTGGCTACAATCAACTTTAAAATTGCCTACTGTAAAATCATCCTCCACGCTTGACTGTGTGCTACTCAGTACATGACCCTGTAATGCCATTGGTTTGATCTTTTTAAGATTTTCAGTGGCTCCAAAGATTCCCTGGGCACCTTCTGTAAAACCAGGGAAGTCATGGAAGTCCAAGTATCCTGAGAATCCAAGTCAGCGAATCAAATTTGGTGCAGATTTCTAAACAGATCTGAAATTAGGAGATGGTTCCCATCCATTATTAATGAACTCTCACAAACTGACAGTGATCATGGTTTTTATCAAAGAAACATACATAGAGAAATTTGTTATCACTTCAGGATTGCTATTGTTTCTGGGTTTAGGTCATTGAAAAGGGAGAGTTTATGTGTGGTTATCTGGTCCTCCTAATATCACTCTTACAAATACTTATTAAGAGTTTTATGAAAACATATGATGGTAAAATGTTGTCAAATTCTAAGAAACAACCAAAACGAAATTCTCCAATTCTATATTTTCTCCCATCATATATATATATATATATATATATATATATATATATATATATATATATATATATATATTATATAATACGACTGTAGAGAACCTCTCTCTTTTATTATTATTATATTTTAGCCTTTTTGGACCATTTACAACAATCATAAAATCTTCTCTTTTGCTGAAACCAGTTTGGCTCAGTGGATAGCGTCGGCCTGCAGACTGAAGGGTCCCAGGTTTGATTCCGGTCAAGGGCATGTACCTTGGTTGCGGACACATTCCCAGTAGGGGTGTGCAGGAGGCAGCTGATCAATGATTCTCTCTCATCGATGTTTCTAACTCTATCCCTCTCTCTTCCTCTCTGTAAAAAAATCAATAAAATATATATTTAAAAAAATCTTCTCTTTGGTCTTAGACAAGTCACAGCCTCTCTCAACTTAGTTTACTAAAACATAGGGATGATCTTACCTGGTGGCTGTGAGAATAACACTTTGAAAAGCATCAAGTGAAACAGAAATGGAAATAGCATCACAACTTGCTGTCTTTTCAAAGGAATATAGCCTCTTTCCAAAGATGAAGTAGCACTATCCTAACTGCATATTTCCAGATATGGCATATGATGAACCATATCTTTATGCTTGCATAGTTACTTTTACTTGCTTGAGACTTACATCATACATATGTCAAGAGAAAAACATATAAATGCATATCTGAACCTGTATTTGTGAGCCAGATTCCAGAACTTACATTGCTTTAACATTAATTTTCTGCCAATAGTAAAAATTTAAACAAGTGGTAAATATATAAATTAGTACAATTCCATTACAGGTGTTTGGGTGGAGTATATACGAAATAGTATCTGGAAAGAAAGTGAATATTTTCATTAACAGGACAGAGAACTCAGTTTGTTAATCAAAATATGAATAAGAGAAAGTATACAACAGCACCAATTACATTTATGATTTTGAGTTGCCAAGAGCAAAATCTCCATTCCATTGGAATCTTTATACTTACCCATTGTTAGGTTTCTTAGAAATGAATATTTACTAATCACTAGGAAATGTGTTTATCAATAAATTGGTGAAAAATGATCATAGTATCATATAAACAATGATAGCATAACTATGTTCTATATAAACAATGTATAGCATACATTAGAGTGGCAGAGTCATCAGGATATGCAAAACCAATTTTATTAGGTTGTGCTGAAAGAGAGTGGCTTTCTGCCAAAATGTATCACATAAAGTTTAGTCAGCATATTCAGTTAGGTGAAGAATCATAATGCAGTGGTAATACTTTTAAGGCTTGGGAGTGGCTTTAAAGAAATTAGAAAACGCGGATTGTTAAATATTAAACAAAACCACACCTCTATATCTACTTCTTTTAAAGTTTTTATTTTATTATCATACAATCTTTGTTTCTTTTTACTGAATTTATTGGGGTGACACTGGTTAACAAAATTATATAGATTTCATGTTCCCAATTCCACAACGCATCATATGTACACTGTATTGTGTGTTCACCACCCTAAGTTAAATATGCATCCATCATCCTTTATCCCTCCTACATCCTTCTCCACCTCCCCCACACCCTCTCTGCCAGGCAATAACCATGCCATCTTAAGTAAGATATTAACTCTCAAAAAGAGGGGGGAAATGATATTAATTCTGTTTTTCTTCCAGAGGAATGAATGAGTGTCTGACTTGTGAGATGGTAACAAGAAATCAAATATGTTCTGTAATGCTACTGTATTTGTTGTAATAATGGGTCTAGTGACTTTCCCATTTTGTTTCTTTCAGGTTGCTTTCAGCTATGTAATGTTTTCCGATCCCATGAAATGGAAATTGACCAGTGCTTGCTGGAGACCCTTCCCCTTGGGCAAAGGCAGCGGCTGGTGAAACGCATGCGCTGTGAACAAATCAAAGCCTACTATGAAAGAGAGAAGGCTTTTCAGAAGCAGGAAGGAGTCCTGAAAAAACTGAAGCATGGCAAGAATCAGAAAGTGCATTTTAACCTTGCTGACATGATTCAGGATGCAATTATACACCATGATGACAAAGAAGGTACAAGACATAAAACTGTTTTCTGACATGGTTTTTCTGTGTGGTTTGTTAGGGGTTTTTTTTTTTGTGTGTGTGTGTGTGTGAGGAAATGAAGGGTAGAATTTCTTTTAAATAGTAGGTGCTTTCTTTCAAGAAAAAATGATCTCATCTATGAACATAGTTAAAAGTCCCAAATCTCTCTTTTTTTTGTAAAAAAAATATATTTTATTGATTTTTTACAGAGAGGAAGGGAGAGATATAGAGAGCTAGAAACATCGATGAGAGAGAGACATAGATCAGCTGCCTCTTGCACACCCCCTACCTGGGATGTGCCTGCAACCAATATACACATGCCCTTGACTGGAATCGAACCTGGGACCCTTCAGTCCGCAGACCGACGCTCTACCCACTGAGCCAAACCGGTTTCAGCAGTCCCAAAACTCTTAGTAAACATTTCAAAAATGCAAAATTGTGGTAAAATTGTGGTATATCTTTTTAAAGAATTATCTACCTAAAGAACAATGCTTTCCTTGCAAATTGTTCATTCCAATTGTTAATGAAACTTTTAAAAATGAAATTGTTTCATTTGAAGAAGAGATTGTTCAATAAAATGTATTATTATGTCATTCATGAATAGACATAGTCATAAAATCAGTTCCTCTCAGACTTTCAGTCTATTGGTTTACCCCTTAAAATTGACTGGCTTGTAGTATCAAATTTTATTTAGACTATTTAATCCAAGTTTCAGTTGTTTTTACAAAACTATTAAACTTCTTATCTTTTATGTGTTTTTAGAATACAATTTCCAGTTATTTTTTTAAATTAGTGTTTTTATTTTCTTTGTAAAAATACAATGAAGTGGGATTGCTGGATCATATGGCAGTGCTATTTTTAATTTTTTTCAAGAAAATTGATCTTAAATATAATAATACTAGAGGCCCAGTGCATGAAATTTGTGCACAGGGGTGTGTGTCCCTTAGCCCAGCCTGCACCCTCTCCAAATTGGGACCCCTCAAGGGATGTCCTACTGCCCATTAGGCCTGATTCTAAATGGGCAGTCAAACATCCCTCTCACAATCCAGGACTGCTGGCTCCTAACAACTAGTCTGCCTGCCTTCCTGATTGCCCTGAACTGCTTCTGCCTGCCAGCCTGATCACCCCCTATCCACTCCCCTGCCAGCCTGATTGCCCCTAACTGCCCTCTTCTGAATGCCTGGTCACTCTGACTGCCCTCCCCTGAAAGCCTGGTCAGCCCTAACTGCCCTCCCTTGAAGGCATGGTCACCCTAACTTCTATCCCCTGCAAGCCTGCTCACCCCTAACTTCCCTCCCCTGCAGGCCTGGTCACTTCCAAATGCTCTCCCCTCCAGGCCTGCACGCTCCCCCCCCCCCCCCCCCCCCCCCCCCCCCCCCCCCCCCCCCACTGCACTTCCCTGCAGGCCTGATAGTCCCCAACTTCCCTTCTCTACCGGCCTAGTCACCCCTAAATGCCCTCCCTTGCAGGGTTGATCGCCTTCAACTGCCCTCCCTTGCAGGCCTGGTCCCTCCCAACTGCCTTCCCCTGCTGGCCATCTTGTGTCCACATAGGGGCAGGATCTTTGACCACATGGGGGCATCCATCTTGTGTGTTGGAGTGATGGTCAATCTGCATATTACTATTTTATTTGATAGGATAGAGGCCTGGTGCACAGGTGGGGGCCAGCTGGTTTGCCCTGAAGGGTGTCCCGGATCATGGTGGGGGTTCCCTTGGGGTGTGGGGTGGCCTGAGCAAGGGGCCTGTGGTATCTGGAATTTATTTACCTTCTATAATTGAAACTTTGTAGCCTGGAGTGGAGCCAAGCCTTCTGCTCTCTCAGTGGATGCTGCCATTTTTGTTTGGACTTATTCACCTTCTATAATTGAAACTTTGTATCCTTGAATGGAGGCTTAGGCCAACTAGGGCAACTGGAAAGCTTGGCTTCCTCCATTGCCTGGGAAACTCAAACCTCCCTCCTGCTCTCTATGGCTGTAGTCATCTTGGTTGGGTTTATTTGGATACTTGCTCTGATTGGCTGGTGGGTGTGGCTTGTGGGTTTAGCAGAGTGATGGTTATTTTGCATATTACTCTTTTATTAGGAAGGATGGAAGCAAAATTGTGTTCAATAACTAAGGTCAAAATTAGCATCAATGATGAAATAGTTGAATGACTTTTTGAATTTAGCAAAAGAGTTTGAATTTCTAATCAATTATTAAAATTTTAAGTACATTATTGTGATATAAATTAAAATGTTTTCCAAAGAGAAGTTTTAGCTCTGGCTGCCATAAAAAATACTATAGACTGGGTGGCTTAAACAACAGACACTATAGTCCAAGATCAACATGCCACTAGATTTGGTTCTTTTTTTTTTTTTTTTAAATTTGGAATGCTTGATACATTTGGGTGTTATCTTTGTGCAGGGTCCATGCTATCTTCTCTGTTTCCTTCCATTTTACTGGATGTGCCACTGAAGTGAGTGCAAGGATTGATTCTTAACAGCAGTTTTTCCACCTGAAAGATGTATCATTCTCACTGTATCCCACAAGGTGAAAAGAGCAAGCTCTGGTCTCTCTTTCTCTTCTTGTAAGGGTATTAATGTTATCATGGAGGTTCATCTTTATGATTTCATCTGACACCAATTACCTTCCAAGGCCCCAACTTCTAATATCATCACATTAGGTTAGGGCTTCCCTATATGAATTTGTAAAGGACAAATTCATAACAGATGATATATTTATGCTGTACTTGAAACTGACCCACATATGAAATAATAGTCACTTCTATTTCTTCTTTGGAGTCTTTTATCAACCTTGGAAACTCTCACATTAATGCTGAGATATCTTTTGTATCAGAGGGAAAATATTAATTTCTTGTAAATTTAAGAAATTAAATTTCATTGAAAATGTAAGCAATCTCTCTGTCTTGCATATGTTTACTTCTTTAGAACTGTATTTAGGAAAAAGTTTACATTTAGTCATGGTAGTCATATTTTCATTTATCTTTAAGCTACTCAAATAGTTATATGTACACATTTATATAATTGAGATAGTAAAATAATATTGCCACAAATCCTTTTCATTTAAGTAATTACTTAATTTTTTTTCAGATTGTGTATTTTTGTAAACTATAAACAACAACTTACTTCCAAGTACTTTTATTGGCTTACTGAGTATAAATAGTCAAATACACTACTTCAGTGGATGACATGATAAGGTTTATAGCATGTCATTTAGAAGCAATTCAGGGTTTTTGTTTCACTTTATAAAAGATGAATATTTGTAAGTATAAATTTAATATCTTTGATGCTTTATTGTTTTTCTTTTTGGGAGATGACATTTTAGTGTATAATGTGGCATTTTAATATATTGCATGAATGTAAAATGTGTTCAATTCTTTTCCATATTATATGGAAATTTGTTCCATATTTTATTTTAGAGCTTTTAATTCAACTCTCTGTGAGTCATATCATGTAAAAGAAAAAGAGAGGGGAGGAAGGGAGTAAATGAGAGAGAGAGAGAGAGAGAGAGAGAGAGAGAGAGAGAGAGAGAGAGAGAGAGAGGGAGGGAGAAGACTGGGAGAGTTAGAGACAGAAAAATGTCCATATGTCGAGAAAATTTAAATAGGAATGCAGTTTCCTCTGTTACAAGTGCTATTCTCAAATATCAGTCATTTTCATTAGTTAGTCCATAAATGTTTATTAAAAGTATTACAAATGACAATGAAGTGACTTTATTATTCTTTTATTATGTAGTACTTTACAGACATAGTCTTGTTTGTACTTCCAGCAGTCGCCAACTGGTGGTCTGTGGACCACTGGTGGACCCTGAGGTCCAAAAGGTTGGTGAGCACTGTTTGTAGTCACTTAATTCCTCTGATAGTCATATGCTACGGCATGTGATAGGATATTCTCCCCATCAAAGAGTGAGAGTATTGAACTCAGAACTCTTTATGGGTAATCTCTTTAGTTCACCTGCATTTGGAAACCATGATTTTGTCCACAACACTGTACTGACCTCAAGTTTATGTCTATTTTTTTAAAAAAAACCTTCTTTATGATTGACATGCAAACAGCTGTACATATTCATTGTGCAGAATTAAGGAGTTTGGAGATAAGCATACACTTGTGAAGCCATCACTAGAATCAAGGCCATAACTACCCATCACTTCCGAAAGGTACCTTCTGCCCTCTTAATTTTTTTAAATTAAATTATCTTTTTATTTGTGGAAACAGTATTTAACATGCCACTGTTTAAGCTGATTTCTGATGGTAAATGAACTAAACCATTGACTCCACAAGTTGATTTGCTTCCAGGGCCATTTGGCTTCATTTCTTCCTCTTACCTGGTTGAGCGCATTGCCCATTGTCAAGGGAGTTGCCAAAGGCAGGGGCTGATATTCTGTATGTTCTCATGTTTTCCCTCCTCTTTCCCTGATTAGTACTCCCTCCCCTCCTCCCCCTCCTCCTTTGTTTTTGCAAGTTAAGGGAATTTAATTGTTAATCATTTGTATGCCATAAGCATCTACAGAAGCAAGCAGCAGACCTTTTTTAATTAAATCCAAAATATCTTGGCAGTTAACTGGTTAATTTCCATGCCAAATATTTTCTGAGGGTCTGTTTTAACCACACAAAGAACTTGTAAGTGTGGCTATAACTTGTGGTTATAGACCTGTCAAACTTCATGGATATCTCCATTGTAACCTAGTATTCTAAGCAGTCTCTTAGAAAAAGAGAGAATATATCAAATCACAGCAATGTTCAATAATCTTCTTCTCTTATCTCTCAGAACTCTGGTCCCATTCTCCTTGGAGGAATAGGATCCCAGGCCCATGGTCTATGGCTCTGACCCTAACTCTTCTTTGTCTACCTAGCCTCTCTGGAAAGCCTCACCTTTCCCCCTTGCATCCCCCTTCTTCTATGCCCATGATTCCCAAATTGTATGCAGATCTCTCTCCTGAATTTCAGACCCCACCTTTGTGATAGCCTCACATTTCTATCTTATCATGTTCAAAATTGAATATCTACCGTCATTTTCTTCCACATCAAAATTCTCTTCTGTTCTCTTTCAGTTAATACCACAATCACTTCCCCAGACTTATAGCCCCGAAATCTTGATGTCATGTTGATTTAAGTGCACATTTGTAAAGTGTTGTGATTGTACATCCTGGAACAATTTACAGGAAGTGTCAGCTATTTGTATATTACCTAGAGTTTTCTAAGAATATGCCTAGAAAGCAGTATGCTAAATATATATGGGATGATCTATCGTTAGGCTGAAAGAACATCTATCTCCTCACTAAGAATTTTGTAAGTAAATCTTTAGGACTAAGTTTTCTCTCCCATACCCACTCCCACCCTTGAACGTGTAGCCTCGGGTAAAAAAAATAAATTTCATATATTCCTTAAGTATTTTATACATGAAGCATGAGACACTCCCTGTGAAACTCAGAGCTTAGGAATACTTAGCCCAGCCCAGTCATTGCATTCATTGCATTCACTAGCTTGGCACAGAAGTTAAAATTCTGAAGTTGTTGGTTACCACATAAATTTATTTGCTTATGTATCTCTTTATTTATTTATATTTTATTATCTAGACTAGGGGTGTCGAACTCAATCAGAGAAGGGGCCAAAATCTAAAATCCAGCCTAAATCGCGGGCCGAATGGTTTACTGAACAGTCATAAACTGTCATTGTGATGGAAACGCAGCGGAGTGCAGTGATGACAGCACGGTGCGGGCCACTTTGCAAGGCCTGGCGGGACGGATTTGGCCCGCGGGCCTTGTGTTTGACACATGTGATCTAGACCATAAATGAAAATGGAGCCAATTATATTTTTCCACTGCTACTATTTATTTAATGCTGCCTTTATGAGGATGGCCCATCTGCTCTGGCACCATTTTCCTAAGTGACAGGTATAGATTTTTACTGCAGGCAGCCTCATTCTCTCTCCCTCACTTCCCCATAACCAGCTGCACCAAGTGGCATTTAGAGAATGTGACAATCAATAGGGGATTTAAGCTCATGCCCCATCGACATGGAAACCCAGGCTCTGGCACTCTTGGAACAGTGGTCAAACCAACCAACCACCCAACCCTGGTTCCCTACATGCATTTATTGTGAACAAAATAGAGTGTGGTGTGTGTTCAATTTCCTACAAGGAAAAAATATGTCTAGACTACAAAACTAGGAGCATAGTATACTTGACATAGGATATATGTAAACTGTCTCCAAAAGAGTTGGATTTAACAAATATCAGTGTCTTGTGTATTAGATACCTGGGGTTGTCAAGGAAATATAAAGCAGTATCCTGTGTTTAAGGAAGAAATAGGGGGTAAGAACATTCCCAGTGAAAAGACTGTAGTACAGTTGTCTGCATAGTCCATGTTCTTGAACAGCACCAAACCTGAGCAGAGTGAGGGGATTGGCAGTTAATCAGAACCACCCCTGCCGAAACTGGTTTGGCTCAGTGGATAGAGTATCAGCCTGCTGACTGAAAGGTCCCGGGTTCAATTCCTGTCAAGGACATGTACCTTGGTTGCGAGCACATTCCCTGTAGGGGGTGTGCAAGAGGCAGCAGATCGATGATTCTCTATCATCGATATTTCTAACTCTCTATCCCTCTCTCTTCCTCTCTGTAAAAAATTAATAAAATGTATTAAAAAAAAAAAGAACCACCCCTATCTTGTTAACTTCTCAGTTATACAACAACATAAATCCTTGAAGGTAAGATGCAAATTAGTCTGGTCCTTTAACTTGGCAGAAGAGGGAGAGGCTGTAGAAAGATGTAGTTAAGGGGAGATGTTTAATGGGGTAGACACAGAAACAAAAGAACCACTTTTAGATTTTTAGAGAAATGCATGAGCTTTTCATCTACACACAATGTCCAAATCAGAGATCTGTCTGGAAGGTGAGGTGTGTAGAGCTCATGTACATGCTGAATCCAGCAACCCTGGGTGGTTCTGAATGTCACAGAGCTGGGTTCACTGGACCATGATGCTGCCAATTAATAGGTAACAGCTGCTAGGTAATTAAATGTTCCCGTTTCAAAACCAGTCATAGAATCATAAAGAGTTGGAAATTAAGTGCATTTACATTCTGAGGGATTCTGTATGAATTTAATGAGGGCTTAATAGTTCACCAATACCAAATTCATATTCCCAAGAAGTATTAATTATTTTAACTGCCTGCTATTTAATCACAACTTTACCAGGGTCTGTGAGAGTAATTGAAAAAGAGAGAGAGAGAGAGGGAGAGAGGGAGAGAGAAAATCTGTGCTGCTTCAAGAGCCTTTCTAATCTCAGTGGAATGACACACCATTTTTTAAAAAACAAACAGCCTGGCTGGTGTGGCTCAGTGTTTAAGCATTGACCTAAGAACGAGGAAGTCATGGTTCCATGCGCAGTCAGGGCACATGCCCAGGTAACAGGCTTGATCACCAGTCAGGGAGTGTGCTGGAGGCAGTCGATCTGTAATGTTTCTCTC